AAGAAGCTCATGAGATTGCTGTCAACTCCCTGCGGTCAGTTGCTCTCTTATTTTCTCTCAATAGTATTAAACAGAATGGAAAACATTCAGGAAGTTCTATTTATGAAACATGTTTATAACCACACTATTGCAGTGCAGCGAAATAAAACCAATCAAGAGCAGTGAGAGTCAACCATAATTATAACTGTTGAAAAATCCTAGCCTAGTTCTTCGTGCATAGCATAGACGTCGCAACAATTATGGGTGAAGGGTGAAGTGTCCCCAACCCATTAAAAAAAATATTCATTCGGACCCCTCCCACATGTACCATGAAAATTAGTTCACCCAGTGCTGTTGCTATTTCTTCCATTCCACTTGATTAAAAGGAGAATACTCAAACCACTAAAAATCTACTCCAGGTTTTCCTGGTTACTGACAACAGCTCCAACAGCATGCAGTGTTTCCTCTCGGACATCTGCCTTGGTAGGGCGCTCACGGGAGGAGGAGGGGGAGACACCTCTGTTTTGCATGCTAGCTTAGCGTTACGTTAGTGCTGGCTGTTGTTGATGGGGAGGGGTTAGGATGTGTGAGAGAAGCGGAGTGCTATGTCTGTAGCAGCTTATTTTTTAAATTTTATTTACAAGTTTATTCATTAAAAAAAAACAATTCTATATACAATAAGAAATACAATCGCAAATAAAATGAAAAGCAGCAGAAAGAAGAAAAAATCTTATATCTGCCCCTTTTTACCAAAAAAATTAATTCAAACAATAATAATCTTCAAATAACAAAAACAAAATAAATAACTCCTTCTCGAGCAACAATTCATACAAATACACATTACACTATTTCATATTTTTTTAACAAACCGACTTTGATCATTCTCTTAAACATACACATTGATCTGGCATTTTTAACATCACTCTACAGATTATTCCGTAATCTAATTCCTTGGATTGAGGTAGACCGTCCCTTCAAATTAGTTCTAAATTTAGGTTTCATAAATATCTCTATCCCCTTAAGATTATAACAGCTCTCTCTTTTAACAAAATGTATTTGGATATTTAATGGTAATGTGTTATTATGAGCCCTATACATAACTGATAAAATATTATAATCTACCAAATCATGGAACTTCAATAACTTCAATTGATAAAATAAAGTACTTGAGGTGTGACTGAAATGCTTTCTAGTAATAATTCTTACAGCTCTTTTGTGTAAAACAAAAATAGGATTTGTAATTGTTTTGCCGCTTTCCCCCAAACATCAATACAATAGATTAAATGTGGAACAATTATTGCATTATACAACATGTACAGAGCTTTATCATTTAATAACTCCCTTACTTAAAGTACTGCAACAGATTTAGCTATTTTTATTATTACATAATTAATGTGATGTTTCCATGTCAGTTTTTCAACAATGATAACACACAAAAACTTCACCTCACTTACTTTATAAATCTCAACATCCTCGACTCTAAATGGAACATCAACAGTTCTCTTTTTATTACTGAATATCATATAGTTAGTTTTATCTAGGTTTAATGATAATTTATTAAGTTTAGACCAAGTGTGTGTTTTTACAAATTCTGTCTGCATCAACTCCAACATCCGTTCTATATCTTAATCCAAACAAAAAAATGTGGTATCATCTGCAAATAAAACACATTTAAGGAGTGCTGACACATTTACCATGCATTTATGTTGCGCGCTACTTTAATTCTGACAGTTTTCAACATGGGGGGGGGGGGGCTGGGGTCTAGTGTATATCTTCGATCCTTGTACTGTTTCTTTTTATAATTTATATTTTTGCTATTGGGCAGCACGGTGGCGCAACTGGTAGAGCTGCTGCCTCTCAGCAAGCAGGTCCCTGGTTCAAACCCCGGTCCAGGTGCCTTCTGGGTGGAGTTTGCATGTTCTCTCCGTGCATGCGTGGGTTTTCTCCGGGTGCTCCGGTTTCCTCCCACAGACCAAAAACGTGCGTGTTAGGCTGATTGGTAACTCTAAATTGTCCCTAGGTGTGAGTGAGAGAGTGAATGGTTGTTTGTCTCATTTGTCTCTATGTGGCCCTGTGATGGACTTGCGACCCGTCCAGGGTGTACCCCGCCCCTCGCACAGTGATTGCTGGACATGGGCACCAGCGACCCCCGTGACCCAAAATGGAATAAACGGGTAAAGATAATGGATGGATGGATGGATTTTTGCTATTTTTGGGTGTAACTGGGACCCTGAGTACGCAATTTCGTTCCACCTTATGTACCTCATGTGGTGCGAATGTCAATAAAGAAACTTGAAATTGAACTTGAGAGAAGCAGAGCGTGCTCTATTTACACAAGGAGAGCTGTTGGTCAGGCTACTTCTTATGCCGTGCTGTTTAAAATAGTTATTGAATCAAATGTTTACTTATGTAAACGTAGATGTTTAACAACCCATTAAAATACACTAGAATGGAGGAAACGGCATCTTATTTATTAAAAATTTTCTGGGGGAGGACCCCTCGACTCCCCTCCCTACTACAATCAGCATGTGCAGCATCACATTACAAATGCTTCTGACACCAGTGGTGCATAGCCGAAACTGTATTTCAAGCTGTGAACATTATTTTGTTGTTCATTTACATCCTGCCCATTTCATTTTGCTTTGTACCCCCCTTTGAAGCAGCCCACATATCTATGCTTTAATCTACTGGAGGTCACTTTAGAAATGAAGATGGGCAGATTGGGATCAGTTTTTGAAATAAGTACTATCATTATTATGGAAACTTGTCAGTCAGTGCTGCAGTGTTAATGCATAATCTTGAGGCAGCTGGCTTGATCCCTGGTTGTGTTTGGAAGGGCATCCTTAATATCTTTTAATAATCTTAATAATCCTTTATCTTAAAACGATTGTTGAATCTTTAAATGAGACAAAAATATTATACTTGGTCATTTATTTATTGAGGAAAATGATCCATTATTATATATTTGTGATGGTAAAAGTATGTGAACCTCTAGGATTATCAGTTAATCTGAAGGTGAAATTAGAGTCAGGTGTTTTCAATCAATGGATGATGATCAGGTGTGAGTTTCACCCTGTTTGATTTAAAGAACAGGATCTATCAGAGTCTGCTCTTCACAACATGTTTGTGGAAGTGGATCATGGAGGAACAAAGGAGATGGATGAGGAGCTCAGAAAAAGTGTTGTTGATGCTCATCAGGCTGGAAAATGTTACAAAACATCTGTAAAGAGTTTGGACTCCACCAAGTCCACAGTCACACAGATTGTGTACAAATGGAGGAACATGAAGACCATTGTTACCTCCCCAGGAGTGGTGGACCAACAAAGATCACTCCAAGAACAAGGAGCGGAACAGTCTGTGAGGTCACCAAGGAGCCCAGGGTAACTTCTAACAACTGAAGGTCTCTCTCACAGTAATGTTGATGTTCATGAGTCCACCATCAGGAGAACTGAACAACAATGGTTCATGGCAGGGTTGAAGGAGAAAGACACTGCTCTCCAAAAAGAACATGGCTGCTCGTCTGCAGTTTGATAAAGATCACATGGACAAACCAGAAGACAGTTGGAAGAATGTTCTGTGGACGGATGAGACCAAAATAAACTTTTTGGTTTAAATGAAAAAAAGTTTAATGTTTGGAGAAATGAAATGTCTGCATTCCTGCACAAGAACCTTATCCCATCTGTGAAACATGGTGGTGGTAGTATCATGATTTGGCGCTGTTTTGCTGCATCTGGGCCAGGACATCTTGCCATCATTGATGGAACAATTAATTCTGAATTATATCAGAGATTTCTAAAGGAAAATGTCAGAACATCTGTCCATGAACTGGATGTAAGAGAAGGTGGGTCATGCAGCAACACAATGACCCTGAGCACACAAGATGTTCTACCAAAGAATGTTCAAGAAGAATAAAGTTCATGTTTTGGAATGACCGAGTCAAAGTCCTGACCTTAATCCAATCCAGATGTTGTGGAAGAACCTGAAGCAGCATTTAATGTGAGGAAACCACCAACATCCAGAGTTGAAGCTGTTCTGTATGGAGGAATGGACTAAAGTTCCTCCAAGGTGTTCAGGACTCATCAACAGTTACAACTAGTTGTAGTTATTGCTGCACAGGGGTGGGGTGTCACACCAGGTACTGAAAGTAAAGGATCACAAACTTTTACCACTCACAAATATGTAACATTGGATCATTTTCCTCATTCCTTTCCTCCCTTCATATATTCCTTTCAGAGTGATCATACATGTAGTGTCCAAATGTCATGAGGAAGGACTGGAACATTACCTGCGCTCTTTTGTTAAGGTTAGCGAACAAAACGTTTTCCAAATTACACCACTCGTTTATTTTTAGAAACAAATACGTTTGTTGTGTTTATTTATATACAGCTCTGGTTTTTCCCTTCAGTATGTTTTTATAACTCCTGTGTCTGGAAGCTCGGCGACCACTCACGAGGTGCTGGCCACAGCTGTAACAGCTGTCCTCAAGCAAACTGCTGATTTCAACACCATCAACAAACTGCTCAAGGTACGCTCATCCAGTCTGTCAGCAGCTGGAACACCTCTGACCAGCAGGGAGAGTAATTCCCTTTGAAACAGCAGAACATTATAAGCACTGCTGTATGAATGCTTCAACTTGTAGCAGCTTGCTTTGACTGTTTGAGCCCTCGGTGACGTATTTTTCCCATCACCAGCTCCACTTGCACGTTCTTGTTGGTACTTTCTCAGGAATACTGCGTGGGAGGAAACGCCGAACCGCAATATGTACCCCCACAAATGTTATATCAAAACAACTGGCTCGGCTTGATGTTTGCTATTACATTTATTGGAATTTTTGGTTACCATGGCGACATAATTTGCAAACAAAGAACCCAACACTTAATACAGTCAAATCAAAAATTTTCAATGGCTGCCACGTGGCAGTCCCCATCAAGGTTTCTCCAGTTGTAACTCTGCTCTTATTTCTGTCTGCAGTACTCCTGGTTCTTCTTTGAAACCATGGCAAAGTCTATGGCCCAGTTCCTGCAGCAGGAAAACCGCATCAAGGTTGGTGTTCAGTGGCACAAATCATAAAGGTCCTGTCCTGGGATGAGTTTCTCACGCTGTGATGCTGCAAAATGCGTCAAGAGCCTTAAACCGAAGTAAGAGCTTAGTCAGGCCTACAGGGGGCGATGAATGTGAGCAAACTGCACTGAGGTTCCAGGTCTGGGTTTGATCAGGATCAGCTGAAACTCTAGGCCGATAAGAAGAGCTTTAGTTTATATTTATTGCTTTTATTCAAACGTAAGTGATGTGTTTTCACAGCAACTCCACTGTTTGAAATATTTAGTTTTAGATATGAAAATTATGACAAAATTGTTGGAGGAAAATATTCTCGCTTTATATCGCTTACTCAAAGGAGCCACACTGGTAGACCTGCCACGATAACAAATTTTACTGGGCGATTATTTGTCTCTGAAATTATTGCGATAAACGATAATATTGTTTGAAATTAGTAATTATTGTCAAATTTAAGAACTGTTGGTTAATTTTTGTGTGTAGTACCTTTTTTCGACCACCGGATGGCAGTATAAGACTGTTTGAACCGAAGGATGGATAGTGAGGGAGCGAGCAGCGTGTCTTTTTAAGAAAAATGGGAGGGAGGCCCCTTGACGTGACATGGGCTGTCTCCTGTTTTTCAGTTCTCATTATGGCAGATGCTCGGTGTGGTTTGAGCTCTTTAGCATAGCATTTTTCACACAAAGCTTTTAATAAAAAAATCAGTAAAAAAGTTCTCAGCTTCTTTTTGCAGAGAAAAACAACTTTTTAGATGAAGGCACGAGTTTCAACCGTGAATTTTGGAGCTTCGACAAGACAGAGGTTTTTTCCTGCGGTTGGCCTGTTAGCTTAGCTCGTAGTTTAGCTTCTCAGCTTAGCTGCTTTTAATGATCCAAAAACACAATTTTGGATGATTTAAAATAGATTTTAAAGAGAAAGGGCGGGATCAGTGAAGAACACCGGAGTTGAGTTTTTTGTCATCCAGTGTCTTCAGTAGAAAGAGAGAGACACGAAGAAATTATAAAATGAAAATTAGGTTGATAATTTTCATTTATCATCCGATTCATTGATTTATTGTTTATAGCGACAGACCTACACACTGGACGACAGGAGAAGATTTTTAACAGGTTTTTTTTTGCAAGCACAGATTTTCAGGACAGGTTACACAGATATACAGGAAGTTCACACAGATATACAGGAAGTACACACAGATATACAGTAAGTACACACACATCTACAGGAAGTACACACACATCTACAGGAAGTACACACACATCTACAGGAAGTACACATGAAGTCCAGTCAAAAGAAGTTGCCACGAGCTGTGTGTGAAGCTTGTTTTTATACTCTTACTGTATCAGTTCAAGCTCACAGACTCGGAACATCTCTGAGGTGTCCTTGGAGCAGCAGCTGCACTTTCATTCTCAGTTATAGTAGTTAAAAACATCAAACTTTGACAAAAATTCCCTAACAAAAAAAATATATGTATAGTTTCGGATTTCCTACTAGTTTTATACTTTTCTCTTTCTTTACAGTTTGTAGTAAAAAAAAACTCAGCCTGTTGTTCTAATAAAAACAGGCTCTTAAGTTTTGGTTCAAAACTTCATTATACGTTCTCAACTTTAATAACTTATACATCTAAAGTATTTGCAGGTCATGTTTTGCTATTTTAAACCTTTTAGATGATAAGAAAAGGCAAACAGTTATTAAACATTTAAATCCATTTAAACATTTACACATTTCTGACTTTATTTTAAAAGTCAAAGTCAAACTTATAAAGCACATTTTAAACAGCGGCTGTTACCAAAGACCTTAACAATAAGATACAAGGCAGTAATAAAGAAAAATAATAATAAGATGTAATTAAAAGCATCAAAAGTAAAAGATAAAAACACAAAAACAATGAAATACTAAATCAGATCACACTGTGTTAAACATCAGATGTGTGCAGTTCGGTTCGGTAGGCGGGGCGCCACCCTTGTCCAATAGTAAGGTAAACACTGCATACCTGCTAACTTGTCACTTTTTTTGGCTAAATTCACCAATTTCAATCAAAAAGATGTCATTTACTTGAATTATCTGGATCAGAAGAGTTTTGGGGTTTTTTTGGGTGGGGGTTGTCAAGAGGCATGGTTGATGGCATAATTTCCCATTGACTGGACTTGCGTAGCGCTACTTAAGTCGTGCTAGCTATCTTGCAACCTGTGCTCACAACAAAGCTCATGTTATTGCTATGTTGTAAGCGCTAAGCTAGCGCACATGCATAGTGTTAGCTTAGCACTACGTAAGTGCCAGCTGTTGTTGACCGGTGTGTGTGAGGGGGGTGTTAGGATGCCTTAGAGAAGCGGAGCACTGTGTCTGTAGCATCTTAGCTAGCACATCTGTATTGTGCGCTGCTAGCTTAGTGCTACCTATTTAAGAAATTATTTTTTGCTTTTAGCAAAATGCTCTGCTATATTTCGTTTCTCTGCTTGGCTTGCTGCTGTTATTTCATGTTTATTTTTTGGATGACTAACCATCTATGCTATGTACAGTATGTCCTAAATAAATTAGGCTATGTTAGTAAATGTCTTTTTTTACCTGAAGCATGTTGTCTTTACCTCTAATTTTCTTCTTGGAAATACCAGAATGCTTAATTTACATTTATGGGGGCCGAGATGGTGTAGAGGCAGGGCAGCCGGCCCGGGACCCGAAAGTCCCAGGTTCGATCCCCGGTCACTGCACACCTCGTGGTGTCTCTGGGCAGCACATCCCATCCCCAAAATGCCCACCCCCCCACCCAGCACCCCGAATAGCCGCCCACTGCACCACCCAGTGGTGGATGGGTTAAATGCAGACTAATTTTGCCATTGTATGGAAACATACAGTGATGACATTGTGATGACATTATTATTATTATTATTGTTTAAAATCACAAAATATTCTGGGGGGCCCACAGGACACCCACAGACACCCACGGAAGATTTTACTACTCCCACTACAGGTGCTAGGTTTGTCACCTTCTTCATCCCTTGTAAGTTTGCAGGTATGATAATCAAACTCATGAAAAGTAATCACTGGATGAACGTCCACAACTGATTACCTTTTGGACTCAATCAAAGTCAAGATGGCTGCCACAGCTATTCGATGTTAGAAAACACAAACATGGCCACAGCTCAACCAATTTTACAGATATTGAGCACAAATTTGTTGAAGTTGAATCCCATAACTGCTGATCTACTCAAGATAATTTAACGATACTTGATCCACATATGCTTCATCACTAGACGTAGTGTTGCATGAATATTTCATCTCTCTAGCCTTAAGGTCAAGGTCACAAATTAAGGTCAAATCTTTACAAGTTCTTTGCTTGTGTGTGCTCTTCTAGATTTGTTTGTGGGTGGGTGTATAATGTGCCTTATGTGGTACTTTTGTTCAACGTGAGGTGATCTCAGATTTAAACTGACATGAAAGCAGTGGGCGATGTACTTCAAGAACAACATCGTTTTCAAACAATCTGCTAGGAAAACGTGCAGGTTGTAGGAGTTGTATTTTTATATGTGGTGGTGCTTTTGTGTGTCTTCTCTATGAAATTAAAAAAGACATGATGCGTATCGTCCCATAGATGCCGCGGCCTCAGCGCTTCCCGGACAGTTTCCACCAGGTGCTGCAGTCCCTGGTGCTGTCCATCATGCCCCACATCACCATCCGGCACAACGAAATCACCGAGGAAGCTCGAAGCATCAACCTGAGCCTGGCCAGTCTCATCAAGGTCTAAAACCCATTTCTTTTATTCCTGTCGGATTTAACCTCAGCATATTTCGCTCAAAGATTTGACGTCCAGGGGACACGGCTTCTCAACAGCTGATTAGCTGATCACTCTTTGTTCTTCTAGAGGTGCCTGACGTTCATGAACAGGGGCTTCGCCTTCGGACTCATCAACCACTACATGTGCCACTTCGGTCTCAAAGATCCAAAGGTACGAGCGTGGTGAGGTGGGGCCGGCGCACCGCTGTCACACACACAGAGGGAGCGCCTTAAGTTCAAACCAATCAGACGTGTCAGAGTCTGTACAGGATTTGGTTTAATTTACTTTAGCCTCAGACCAGCTTGTCAGTTTTCTACATTCGCCTTATAATCTAGTTGATTTTTGTTACTTTTTTGTCGTCTTTTTTGTAAAAAAAAAAAAAAAAAAAAAAGTATGCCTTTTTGTGGCTGTCTATTGTCGTTGTTGTCCATCGTTGTCATCATTCTTTGCTGAAATCAGGTCTCTCTTGTAAATGAGTCCTTGAGGCTCAATGGGATTTACCTGTCTAAATAAAGGTTGAATGAATGTCAACACATTGAGGTCAAAGGTCACTCGGTGCTAACCTTATGTAAGATCTGTTACTTGATTGGTCTTATTTGGTTTTGTCTTCACCGTGCCTCTGTACAGACATTACATTTGACTAGCAGAGTGGGAAACCACAGATACCGGTACACACACACACACCGGCTTTTAAGCAAATGCTTAAAATTCTGGATGTTCTGATGCCAGAAATTTGAATATTTGCGTGCAGAAACCTTCACATGCACGTGTTTTTGCTGCAGGTGTTGACAGAAATGAAATTTGAGTTCCTCATGACCCTGTGTAACCACGAGCACTTCATCCCACTGAACTTGCCCATGGCCTTCGGGCGCACCAAGCTGCAGAGAGTACAAGGTGAGCAACACGTCCTAGATTATGTTCTAATGTTCATCCTCCATACTGACGGCACATCACACCTACCTGCTGTTACTCATGACCCTCATTAACTAACAAGACAGTTTCTCACAAGTAAGACCTACAACCCCAAATGTTTTGGGACATTGTCTAACTGAACACAGGATGGAATGAGTCAAAGTCTCATAAACTCGTATTTTATTCACAATGTATCATAAGAAGGTTTAAACTTGAACATTATCTGGGAAATTTATGACAGCAGCGCATCTAAATGAAATTGGTACAGGGACATGAAAAGGCTGTAAAAGTATGTGAAATTAATATGAAACACCTGGAGGAGCTAATTAAACTAATGGGCAGCAGGTCAGTAAGAGGACTGGGTATAACAAAAAAACTTTAAGAGAGACAGAATCTGCTGAAAATAAAGATGAGCAGAAGTTCACCAGTCTGAGAAGAACTGCAAAAATGAGAATTTCAGAATAATGTTGATTAACAGAGAGGTAGCACAGTGGAGCAGTGGCTAGCTCAGTCTCCCCACAAAAACAAGGTTCCAGGTTAGCTTCTTGACCAGGATGTGTGGGGAGTTTAAATGTTCTCCTGCATGCATGGGATTTCTCCACATTATGCGGTTTCCTCCTATGATCCAAAAACACGACGAGGCTCTGGTTTTTTAAACCAGGTCTGGTTCTGTCCTGGACATTGCTGCATGAGCTCAGAAACACTTCCACAAATAAGAGCCTGGCTCTTCTCAATCAGGAGAGAGACCATCCAGCCTGTTATCAGCTCACACTTCAAACATCTGCCTCTCTGATAGTATGGGGGTACATTAATGCCTCTGATATTGACATTTTCACAGTTACTAATTTTTACACGTGCTGTTTTTATTGACTGTTATATACAAACATATTTGTAAATTAGTTTTATTGGTATTTCATGGGGCAGCACGGTGGCGCAACTGGTAGAGCTGCTGCCTCTCAGCGAGCAGGTCCTTGGTTCAAACCCCGGTCCAGGGGCCTTTCTGGGTGGAGTTTGCATGTTCTCTCCGTGCATGTGTGGGTTTTCTCCAGGTACTCCGGTTTCCTCCCACAGACCAAAAACATGCATGTTAGGCTGATTGGTAACTCTAAATTGTCCTTAGTTGTGAGTGAGAGAGTGAATGGTTGTTTGTCTCGTTTGTCTCTATGTGTCCCTGTGATGGACTTGCGACCTGTCCAGGGTGTACCCCGCCCCTCGCACAGTGATTGCTGGACATGGGCACCAGCGACCCCCGTGACCCAAAATGGAATAAGCGGGTAAAGATAATGAATGGATGGATGGATGGTATTTCTTGTTGTGATAGTAACTTGTGATGTTGCCAGGCGTCTGAATGGCTGCAGAGCAGCTGAAACAGAGTCATATATGAACATGTCAGGGTTTGGTGGACAAGAACGAACCCAGTAGCGCAGACAGGACTCAACTCGGCAGATTACAAAAATAAGTATTTTAATGATGAAATCAAAAGTAACAAAACAATAAGCTGACGTGGCAGCACACTTACTTTAAACTAGACGACTCAGGAGGGATACTCAGACAAGACTCAGGAAGCTCAGGAAAACTCACGAGACACAGGAGAACACTGAAGACCCAAACGAATACGACGCGACAAAGAACAAGACAGAACAGACAGCTTTTATACAAGGACAAAACGAGACGTGATTACAAACAGCTGTGACGAGACAAGGGTGACACCAATTAAACTGAAGAGAACACACAAGGGAAACACAGACACAAACAGAGCCAGTAAATGGTACCATCCTTACAGAACATGGTTTAGACTAAATGTCTTTCAACAAACTGAAAGAAGGCATGAAACTATCTGGACCACAAAGCATCACAAAATACTGACTTTGAGCACATCAGCAACTATAAAAAGGTCAATGGGTATCTGACACTCCTGAAAAGGCTCCATCATTACAGAAAAGTAAAAACAGGCTTTAGGCCAACATAAGCTCCCATACAGGGGGAAATCCAGCAAAGAAACCTCCGGATCAGGGGGTGGGATGAAACTATGTAAACAAAGTCCCATTTACACCCAACAATGGCAAAAATATAAAGTGTAAAAATAAGCAATATTTAAGGATCTAAAGATATACGTTAAACGACCGCTAAACAATACGCTAAACTATCTAAGATATACGCTAAATACTAATAAAAATAATACGGTATATTAAATAGCGGCCCTAGCATGAGTCTGTAGTGAGTAGATGGGTATACAACAGCATGAGATAATCAGCAGAACATATCAACAATTAAAGTGGCATTAGTGGGTTTTTTTTTTCCGCAGTGATTATTCTGGTTAGAGATTCATGAATCTTAACAGCTTCAGGGTAGAAGCTGTTCCTCAGCCTGGTGATTCTACACGTAATGCTCCTTAACCTCCTTCATGAGGGGAGCAGGTCAAAAAGTATGTGTGCTGCTTGAGTGGGGTCCTTCATGATGCAGGTGGCTCTCTTCCTACATCTGGAGGTGTAAACGTCTGTGATGGTGGGGAGACTGACTCCAACAGACTTCTGTGCAGCCTTCACCACTCTCTGCAAAGCTTTTCTTTCCGCAGCTGTGCAGCCTCCATGCCACACATTGATGCTGGAGCACAGGATGCTCTCAACTGCACACCTATAGAAGGAGGTGAGGACTGAGCTTCCCAGACCAGCTCGTCTCAGCTGCCTGAGGAAGTAGAGTCTCTGATGAGCTTTCTTGATCAGGCTGGTAGTGTTGTTGCCCCAGCTGGGGTTTTCATTCAAGTTTACACCCAAGTACTTGTAGCTGGAGACCACTTCCACCTCAGATCCTCCTATGTTCAGGAGGGTGTAGGTGTGTTTGTTTCGTCTGAAGTCCATGACCATCTCCTTCATCTTCTTCACATTGATGTGAAGGTTATTCTTCCTGCACCAGCTCTCCAGGTGTTCCACCTCTTGCCTGTAGCTGGACTCATCGTTGTTTGTGATTCATCTCACCACCGCTGTATCATCTGCAAACTTTACAATGTGCCAGCCTGGATGGGTAGCTGCACAATCATACGTGAGCAGAGTGAACAGGAGGAGACTCAACACACAGCCCTGAGGAGAGCCAGTGCTGAGGGTTATAGTGGAGGAGGAGAATATGTGGATCCTCACTGACTGTGGTCTGTTTGTTAAAAAGTCTAGGACTCAGTTGAAAATGGAGGGGCTTAGTCCTAGTGTGAATAGTTTGTTCATGAGGGTTTGGGTGATCATGATGTTGAAGGCAGACGTGAAGTCCACAAATAGGACATAGGAGTCCTTCTGCTCCAGGTGGGTAAGAGCAATGTGGACCACAGAGGAGATGGCATCCTTTGTTGTTCTATTCTCACGGTATACAGGTCCTTCTCAAAAAATTAGCATATTGTGATAAAGGTCATTATTTTCCATAATGTAATGATAAAAATGAAACTTTCATATATTTCAGATTCATTGCACACCAACTGAAATATTTCAGGTCTTCAATTGTTTTAATACTGATGATTATGGCATACAGCTCATGAAAACCCAAAATGCCTATCCCAAAAAATTAGCATATCATGAAAAGGTTCTCTAAACAAGCTCTTAACCTAACCATCTGAATCAACTACGTAACTCTAAACACCTGCAAAAGATTCCTGAGGCTTTTAAAAACTCCCAGCCTTGTTCATTACTCAAAACCGCAATCATGGGTAAGACTGCCGACCTGACTGCTGTCCAGAAGGCCATCATTGACACCCTCAAGCAAGAGGTTAAGACACAGAAAGAAATTGCTGAACGAATAGGCTGTTCCCAGAGTGCTGTATCAAGGCACCTCAGTGGGAAGTCTGTGGGACGGGAAAAGTGTGGCAGAAAACGCTGCACAACGAGAAGAGGTGACCGGACCCTGAGGAGGATTGTGGAGAAGGGCCGATTCCAGACCTTGGGGGACCTGCGGAAGCAGTGGACTGAGTCTGGAGTAGAAACATCCAGAGCCACCGTGCACAGGCGTGTGCAGGAAATGGGCTACAGGTGCCGCATTCCCCAGTTCAAGCCAATTTTGAACCAGAAACAGCGGCAGAAGCGCCTGACCTGGGCTACAGAGAAGCAGCACTGGACTGTTGCTCAGTGGTCCAAAGTACTTTTTTCGAATGAAAGCAAATTTTGCATGTCATTCGGAAATCAAGGTGCCAGAGTCTGGAGAAAGACTGGGGAGAAGGAAATGCCAAAATGCCAGAAGTCCAGTGTGAAGCACCCACAATCAGTGATGGTCTGGGGTGCCATGTCAGCTGCTGGTGTTGGTCCACTGTGTTTTATCAAGGGCAGGGTCAATGCAGCTAGCTATCAGGAGATTTTGGAGCACTTCATGCTTCCATCTGCTGAAATGCTTTATGGAGATGAAGATTTCATTTTTCAGCACGACCTGGCACCTGCTCACAGTGCCAAAACCACTGGTAAATGGTTTACTGACCATGGTATTACTGTGCTCAATTGGCCTGCCAACTCTCCTGACCTGAACCCCATAGAGAACCTGTGGGATATTGTGAAGAGAAAGTTGAGAGACGCAAGACCCAACACTCTGGATGAGCTTAAGGCCGCTATCGAAGCATCCTGGGCCTCCATAACACCTCAGCAGTGCCACAGGCTGATTGCCTCCATGCCACGCCGCATTGAAGCAGTCATTCATGCAAAAGCATTCCCGACCAAGTATTGACTGCATAACTGAACATGATTATTTGAAGGTTGGCGTTTTTTGTATTAAAAACACTTGTCTTTCATTGGTGGGATGAAATATGCTAATTTTTTGGGACAGGCATTTTGGGTTTTCATGAGCTGTATGCCGTAATCATCAGTATTAAAACAATTAAAGACCTGAAATATTTCAGTTGGTGTGCAATGAATCTGAAATATATGAAAGTTTCATTTTTATCATTACATTATGGAAAATAATGACCTTTATCACAGTATGCTAATTTTTTGAGAAGGACCTGTACATACTGGTGAGGGTCCTCAATGTTGATGGTTGTTTTGATGTGGGTCATGACCAGTCTTTCGAAG